GTAGCCTTGATGCCAGTGCAGCCACCACGCCCAAGTCCTTCATTAGGTTCCAGGCTGTCTGCTCTTCTTCTGGTGACCCCATCTTGCTCTCGGCCCTAATGCTGCAGATTGGTGATCGCGTTGTTGCCAAGTATGTCCCTCAGGCACAAGCAGTCCTTGACATTGCTCCTTCAGCAGTGCTACGGGTCAATGTCTTCAGAGACGCCTGGCCTGGATCTTGGGAGACCTTTTCCAAGTCTCCAATCAAAGCCGTCGTCGAGGCATGTGAACCAATGCAGGTTTGTCAGACCATTGGATGCGAGTGTCCCAAGTGGCACGTTGTCGCCCCTGGAGATCCTGATTCCCTACTTGAAGTCTGGGGCCGGCACTTTGGCTCCCTTCAATACAAAGCCCAGCCCCCAGCTACGGCCGATGTCTTCTCTGCTTTTGTTCGGGTGCCTGCTGCCCTCCAGGAAGTGCTCTTGCTTCAGTCAGGGCATGGCGGTTTGTACTTCGAACCCAGAGCAGCAGATGACAAAAAGCCGTCTACCGATTACCACGTTGTGTGGGTGCCCAAGCTGACGTATGAAGCTGCTATGCTGCTGCGCCAGTCTCATGCAACGGTGGTTGGGTTAGCCCGGGTTGGTCTTAGGTACGGGGTTCGGTGCCACACCGCCGTTGCTGAAGAGCTTCATCAGCTCCTGCGTCCTGGCGTCCCGTTTCTTGCTCCTGGAGGGGTTCGCCACTTCCAAGTTGGCCCATTTCCATATGGAACTCAACGTCATGCCATTGCCCGCGCCTTTGCCCAGCTTGATTGGAAGGCTAAGCCGCTTCAGCCAGTGCCAGGAGGAAGTGACGATGGGCTGTACTGGGCCGTCCAAGCCAATACCGAGCCTCCCGCCAAGGTCCTCTTCACTCAACATGGCGAGGTTTTGGTTACAGAGGTCCGCGTTCAGGTGCCCTCCATGCCGGCAAAGTCGCCTATTGCTGCACCCAAGGCTACCCTGCAGTCCTTGGCAGGTCCCCAGGTCCATCCCAGCCCTGACCCGCTTCAGCAAGCTGACCCTTGGAAGTGCTATTTGATTGAGAAGGCCGCTGGCGAGCGCGGCTCAGGCTCAGCCTCTTCTTCCATTACAGCGCCAGCGCCTGACATTACCAAGCTTGCGTCCCAAATCGAGTCAAGTGTCTTGCAGAAGGTCAGCTCGCAAGTTCAGGCTGCAACTGGTGAAGTTGGCGCACGGGTCATGGCATTGGAGTCCCAGGTTCAGGGGATTCAGACAAAGGTGGACTCTCAGGAGACCACACTCCGTGCATTGTTTGCCGACCAGATGAGTCAAATTGAGCAGCTGCTAGGTGCAAAGCGTAGGGCGGTTGAGCGTGAGCCAGTCTCCTGACGGTTCCGCCACGGCGCCAAGGCCAGCCAAGCCCCAAATCCCTGTTTTCAAACCCCCATTCTCGAGCCGAGAATGGGGGTTTGCAAAAGGGCAGTTTTCGTCCCACGGCGCCTTCATCCGGCCAAGAATCCCTTTTCCCAGACCCCCATTCTCGAGCCGAGAATGGGGGTCTGGAAAGGGGCCAAGATGCATTGCTGTCGTTTCTTTGGTTGCAGGGCACTCCTGCACCTTACTGTTCTCCTTTTGGTCCAATGCGTCCGCATTGGCGAGGCAGCCCTGCCAGGGCCGTTCCATCTCGGGGTCTTTAACCCGACCGGGTTAAACGGCAAACACTCTTTGGTATCTTCGCTTCCGTTGGGGGTTTATGCGGTTGCGGAAACCCACCTGGCTGCTCATGGCTGCCGCCGTTTCCAGGAGGGCCTTCGCTTTTCAGGTTCTCCTTTCCACTGGGGCCCCTGTGCCTCTCCGAGCCAGAAGTGACCATGCGGGTGGTTATAGCGGTGTAGGGTTCCTCACCTCTCTCCCTGTTCGCTTGTTGCCTCACGATTGGCCTTCTGACATGTACCTTTCTAGCCGTGTCCAGATCGCTGCCTTTTATGCCCAGCCACATTGGGTTACAGGGGCCGTTGTTTACGGCCATGCCACTAACCGCCACCGGACACCGGAGCTGCTCGATGCAGTAGCCCAGCGTCTTGTTTTTCAATCCACCGGGCCCCGGTTCCTGGCTGGGGACTTCAATCTTGAGCCTAACGAGGTCCCGCAGTTGGAGCAATGGTACGCCATGGGTTTCCGTGATGCGCAAGATGTAGCTCAAACTCTCTTTGGCACAGAACCCGTTCCCACTTGCAAGGGAGCCACTCGTAAGGACTTCCTTCTCCTGTCTCCTGAACTCCAGCAGTGCTTTCGCAGCATACGAACTGATGCGACGTGGTTCCCAGATCACTCCTTGTTGGCTGCCACCATTGACATGGGGGACCTGTGCGTCTCCCGCCTGCTGTGGCGCCAGCCGCGCCACCGGCCTCGCCTGGGACTTGAAGTAGCTAAAGGCCGTGCCAAGCCCAAGCTGGAACAGCTGCCTTGCCCTCCCAACTGTGACCTTGTGTTCCAAGTAGCGGTTGCTGAGGAGTCCGACAAGTTCCGACAAGTGTGTGAGGAGTATGAGAATCGACTTTCCACAGCACTTGTGGCTAAGTCACTTCCCCCGCTTGGTACGTCAGAAAGGGGCCGTGCACAGACGACCAAGGTGAAAGTTGTGCGGGCTCCTGTCGCTCCTCTGTCAAAAGGCCGTCAGTGGGAAGTTGAGCCTACTTACTTTGGAGGCGGGGTCCGTCATACACATTGGTTTAGGCAGCTGCGGCGCTTGCAAGCTTTGGCGCAAGCACTGAAAAAGTCTTCCCAGTCACCGGCCGCGCTTGAGTACCGTGCTTCGCTGTGGCACGCCATCTTGTCAGCCCCTGGCTTCGGTGGTTCCTTTGCGCTTTGGTGGGCCTCCCTGGCCATTCAAGGCGCTGATCCTAGTGGCGCGCCTGCCGCCCTGCCACTTGAGATCCCCTCGTGGGAAGCTGTCCATGCAATCTTCGAGGTCTTTCAGGCTGAAGTCAGGCGACTTGAGGCTGAGCTTGGCCGCAATCGCGGCAACGCAGCTAAGGAAAAACGGCGCCTAAACCCTGCCCTGATTTTCAAGGATCTGCGTGACACCCGAGCGGCCCCTGTTGAATCACTTCTCGAAGGTCCTACGGCGCAGGTGCTGGATGTGATACCTGCCGATGGTGCTATCCAGCTTGAGGCTGACACTGAGTTTTCATCTGGAGAGTCGGTCTGGGTGAATGGATCTCGGCATTCCGTGGTCCATGCTGAGCCAGACATGTTATGGCTTGACCCCGTCCCTCACTGCCCTGTTGGAGCAAAGGTGCGTCAGGAGAAATTGATCGGTGATCTTCCTAGCCTCTTTAGGGCCTTCGGAGATGAGTGGTCTAGCTATTGGCAGCGTCACCAAGCAACCTCAGCCAGCCGATGGGATGATGCCATTGCGGGCTTTTCCACCCCGCAGATTGAGCCTGTGCAGTTGCCTCCAATCACACCGGAGCAATGGCGCAAGGAGGTGCAGCGGAAGAAGGCCCATACAGCCGCTGGGCTGGACTCGGTCACTCGGCGTGACCTGCTGCTCATGCCCAGTGACCTCCTGGCAGCCATTCTTGAACTCTACGAATGTGCTGAAGCCACTGGCCGCTGGCCAGGCCCCGTGCTTGAAGCGGTTGTCAGTGCCTTGGCAAAGCGTCCATCTGCGACCACTGTGGGGCACTACCGCCCGATCACAGTCCTAAGCCTCATGTATCGGGTGTGGTCTTCAATTCGTGCTCGGCAATGTCTGCGCCATCTGGCTAGGTTCAGGCCACAAGGCTTGTTTGGCTGCTTGCCAGGTCTTTCTTCCGCCCAACTTTGGTGGCAGCTTCAGGCGCGCATCGAAGCCGCCCGGCTCGCTGGTGTACCCGTCTGTGGCATCGTTGCCGACCTGGCAAAAGCCTTCAATCATTTGCCTCGTGTTCCGGTCTTTGTGGTTGGGGCTAGGCTTGGCCTCCCCCAGGGTGTCCTGTGTGGGTGGTTAGGGTTCCTTTCTTCCTTCGCACGCCGCTTCCGCATCCGAGGGTCGGTCGGACCACCCATACACTCATCCACCGGCTTCCCAGAAGGATGTGCTCTGAGTTGCGTGGCCATGACCCTGGTCAACATTGCAATGGACAATTACCTGCGTCGCACCGCTTCGCCCGCAGAACCGCTCAGCTTTGTTGATAATTGGGAGCTGGTCGCGCATGACGCAAACACCGCCCTTGGAGCAAAGCAGGCCCTGGATACATTCTGTCAGGCGTGGGACCTTACGCTTGATCGGTGAAAACAATCCTCTTTCACGCAAACTCTGAGCCTGTAAACGTCGGTCGTAACATGGTTATTCCATGCACTCAAAGCTACATGTCCAAAAGCTACCAAACTGTTCAATCAAAATAAGGGTACGAGTACAAACACAAAATTTGATCACCCCGCCCAAATGCGTGTTGCACCTGAGCACTCGTATTTGCATCAACAACAGTACGAGTACGTTTTGCAGTAGCGGACCTAAGTAGCTAAAGGTTTTATGGCGTGTTGCCATCTTGCTAGGCTCAACTGTACACTACGCGACCACTCCATCCACAAGCTAGGGTCAGCTTGAGACGAAATGTTTCTTGACAGACGCAAGAGGACGCCATTCATGCGGGCTCATGCGCATGCTGCGCCCCACATGTGCTTTCTCTTCAAGATAGCACTCTGAAGATTGTCACGGCCTAGTTACCGTGAGGAAGCTCACACTCCCCTGCGGGTTCAGGCTGCTCCACAGCCATCGAAGTTGATTCGGAATAATCAAGATTGACAGCAAAATGCTGTGTTGCACGTGATGCACAAATGCATCGCTGCGGCATTCAAGAACACTGGCCCCCACATCCGTTCAAGCTCAAGTAGTCTATCTACAATCATCCGTCAACGAAGTGTTCCCGAAGGCTCACGCCGCTGACTATGTACAAAGATGACCAATGCATCTGCATCATGAGCATATCTCAAGCGGGTTGCCAGCATCACAAGAAAGTGCTGATTCGTTCATTTCTGTTTGCGATTGCCTCCGAAGCATCGCCCACATGGCTGGTAGCCACGTTCCTTGGCCTCTGCTAAGCCAAGTCGCAGGATCTCATCAGCGTTGTTCAAGCATGTGCATCCGCGCTTCGCATGGTAAGCTTTGCCTCGCCTTGCAGTGCAATAAACATGCAACTCTGGCGTATGCACTGGCACATCGCCCACACGTCCACTGTGGGATGCAACTTGCAACGGTACACCTGATGATGACGCTGATGCACCCTCACGTGCATGGTGCTCTGCCCACATCATGCGGTCATAGTCCATTTCACTGATGACTCCCTGCAAGCGATCGGTCTCATGCCTTTCTGTCACAAGCAAGAATCTCAACTTGCGTAGCTGCATCATGAGCATCAAGCACACAAGCGAAGGCACACCGCAAAGGGTTGCGGTGATCACACTCCAACGCCCATACTCTGGCACAGACGTGCTCGGCTCGGCACTGGTGGTCCTATACGCGCTTGCATCGTCCCTGCGGCGATCGGCCCGCAGCCGCTCAAGGCTCAGCATGACACTCAACAGAGACACGAGGATGACCAAACCGGTCACCCAAACGCTGAACCATCTTGCCTCTGGCTCTGTCTGAACACTCACATCACGCCTCGTGCCACTTGCATCTGCACCTGCAATCAAGCTCACCATCATCAAAACAAGATTGCTGTTGCTCAAACCATTGGTCTTCAGCGACTTGTTGATCAATCGCCGGACACGGGCTGTGTCCTTGCAGTGTTGCAACGACTCGACCAACTGATCATAGTCGGCACGGCCTACCTCTTGGATGCAATCACCGGCACAGTCAACGAAGTCATGCATGCAAAGCAATGCTCTCAAGCGACTCCCAGTTGCCGGGACCTTGGTTCCAAGATCTGACGGGTTCCATCGCCCGTCGACTGAGCCAACTTTCAGTGTACCATCCGCGGTCTTCTCCTGCACCCAGAGGAACCTTCCATCAAGATGCCTGATCTTTGATACGCCCTGCTTCAAAGATATCTGGCGACAGCTTGCATTATCAGTCCTCATCAAAAGATCTACCGGTAGTTCAAGCAGGTATTCAAGAACTCTTTTCAAGTAGATGCCGTCGCAGGCCGCGGACACCAAGGCGTAAAATTCGCTTTCAGTGGAACTGAGGCTTACGCAGCGTTGGCTCTTACACGAAGTATAGACGCAGCAGCTGTTCAAAAAGAACGAGCTGCTGCTCATGCTGCGGCGATTCTGCTTGTTGCCGCTCCAGTCTGCATCACAGAACACCTCCAGCAGCACTCCATCACGCGCTCCACCAGGATCGGAAGGCTCAAGAATGCTAAGCTTGTCACCTCGGGCATGCACCTTGCTTGCGTAACCTGTGGTGCACGCCAAGTACGATGCCAACCTCTGACCCGAACTCCAAGTTTGCATTGTCGGCTCTCGGAGCTTCTGAGACAGAATCCTCACTGTGAAGGCAACGTCGGGTCGATCCTGGGACACATACATTGCAATCCCGATTGCGCTGCGAAAGCGCGCAGCCTTCGCACTGTCCAGCAGCTTGCTGGTGTCGGGCACCAAGATGTCCTTTGTGCACGGTGTCGGCACTTTCTTGTGCAGTGGCACTTCAAGAAGATTGCACATGTTCACTGCATGATCAGACAATGGCTTGATCAAGATACCATCTTCAAGAAGAACGTGCTCCCTTTTAAGAAACTTAAAGGAATCCCCGGGCTTGCATGCAACCTCATACGACAGCTCAAAAGTGCTTTCAAGACTGGGAACCAGTTGCTGCAAGATCCACCTCACATACCCAACAAGGCAGAGGTCGTCGACGTGGATCACACCCGGATTGGAGCGATCTTTCGCATCCTTCAGCTTGTACAAGGAAGGGCACTCAGCACACACAGACAACTGGTGCTTCTCGCGGATGTATTCCATGATGAACGAATGCCACCTGGCCGTTCCGTCTCTCTGCCCTGGCAGCATCTTGAGGAACCGCATCCTTTTAGGAGAACCCGGAATCTTGGCCAGCATGGGACGCTCCTGTGGGACACAAAGAAAAGCATCTTTTATGTCAAGAGCCACGACGCCTATGGGATCATCGTCTGTGGCTGCACCTTCCTGACGCCTGTTCATCTCGCAAAACAGCCATGGCAGAAGTTTCGTGGTGAGCGACGACGTCGCCGGGGCATACAAACCTTCCCGGTCACGCTCCATCCACTTGTATTCCCTTGCAACCAAGCGTGATCTACGAAAGAACATCATGCGCCCATGCCGTTTCTTTTGCCTCCACGTTCTCACGAACTTCGTGGAGAGCTCCTTGTAACCACTGAGATCAAAGCTGTCTCCGACTTCCTCCAAGACTTGTTTTCCAAGAAGTCGCTTCACCTCAAAAGTGTCTGCCACGTAATCCAAGGCTGACAACTCCTCGTCACTGAGGCTTGGGATCTCCTCGAACCATAGAAGGTCTTCATCTTCAAGAAGCTTTGCCTCTTCAGCGGTAAGGCTTGGATCAAGCTCTGCATCGGCATCTTCTCCAAGCTGCACATACTGTGCTGCATCTTCCCATTCTGCGGCGGACTCCAAAACTTCATCATTGATTGGGAAGTCCTCACGGCCTACTCGGGCGATCCGCTGAAACTTTGCTGCATGGGACTCATCTGGCTCTGCCTCAGCCTGTCGACCTGTGCTGGCACCTGCTCGAACACTTTCTACCACCTCAGCAAGCATGGTGCTGTCATCAAACACAGGCTGAGTGGGCAAGGCTTCTGGAGAGGAAGACGAAGATGAATCAGAGGATGTCGGTGGGTCGGTCCCCATGACTTCCATTGGTGACTCATTCACCGCAGCATGCGCAGGAGGAGGAGGTCTCACACTCGCTGGCACACTGCCTGGGACACTCGCACTCCCTCTGTCGTGACGATCAAGAAGCAATGTGGCTCTGGAGGATGGTGCAGGGTTCGGTGGCTGGCTGCTAAGCGGAGGCATCCCCGCCATCCCCGCCACACTCGGCATTCCTGATGCAACTGCCTGCGCCTCATCACTTCTGGCACCTGACACATCAACTTGCGCACTCTGCTGCTGTTCAAACACCTCATCAGCGTCCTCGGCCGGCTTTGGAACACGATTCCGTGGCTGTGGGAAAATTTTCGCTCCAACTGGTAATTCCAAGGGAAACCCTTTCCTTCCAAAATCAAGTTCACTTCATCCGACCAAGGCTTGGCATTGCGTCTGATGGATCGTGTCAGCCAGACGCCCTGGGCATTCATCAAGATATACATATTGTTTGTTGTAGTTTTCGACAAGAATACTGCCCTATGCCATTTTCGATCCCCTTTAGATTTTCCACGCCTAAAACCCCAAACCGGTTCTCCGAAGCAGGCGAGCTTGGATGCAAAACGGTAACCAGTGGCACGCTCGAATGCCGTTGCTCCGCCTTTCACTCCGAACCTGTTCAAGATGTAACTTGCGTGAACATAGCTCCATGCCATCAAAGGGTGATCTGCACTGATGGTTTCAGCACTCAAGTTGTACTTGACTCTCACCTGATCAAGCAAGACATTGGAGAGACCTCTCACCAAGTCTATGGCCTTCTCCACATAGCCTTTTGATGCATGCGAGTGCACCGGCGCATCACGGATCATGGTTTTGAACCCGAGCTTGGTCCGAACATTGACCACAAGACTTTGAAGAGCCAACGTGGAGGGCTCATTGTCACAGCAAAGGAAAATGCTGTTGTGGCCTAAGCCTTGCACGAACCTTGTAAGCTCGATTGCACTGAACTTCAGATCCTCGCGCCCCTTGCTTGCAACAGGAAGCCCTAGCACACTGCCGGTGCTGGTGTCATGTGCAACCAGAACGGTCAACTTAGCTGCATTGCCCTGGCCCTCGGCACCTGACACACTGGTGAAGGCATAATCGAAGCTGATGATCGGGACCTCAGTGTCGGCACTCCCCGGCAGTGATTCATGCCGGTCCTCAACACCACGCATGGCCATGCAGTGATCGCACCATGGCCGGAATGGCCAATGGGTCAGCTCATGCAACTGCCTCTCGGCTTCTGTTGGGGCCTTGGTGACGGACTGCCCTTTCGGCTCACGCGTACTGTCATCTCCGACTGTCTGAGCAACTTCGGCACTCAGGGCCAATTGCTGCTTGTCAAGGTAACCCCTCAAGCGATCAAGGCAACGCTGCTTGCTCCCTGAAACGGATATCCCAGCCGACTTGCATGCCGTACGAATCACACTCAATGTGCTCTGCAGGGAAAGCTCAACGCCTTCAAACACAAGAATGTCACTGCTGCTTCCTGGCACTGGCGCCTCGCCTGTGACGCCCTCGGCATCTGGCAACACCTCCACATCCCTGTGGACCTGAGGCACACCTGGCATCGCCTCCACCAACTGTGGAGCAGAAGTGTCCTGCATGTCGGCTTCGGAAGGCTCGTAATCTGCAAGCTCATCAGCATCTGGGTCTCCAGGTTGCGGGCCAGACCAATCAATGTGCCCTTGCGTTGATCTGTGAGGTTCCACTCCAAACTCGGACAACTCTTCACGTGACGAAGAGAGGATGCATACTACATCACTTTCTCCGTGCGGTAAAATGGCCGCAAGCTCTCGCAACTCACCCCAGTGCACGCAATGCTCAAGCAAAATCCAGGCATTATGATCAGGTGTGCACGGCTTGACCAAAGTGGTTCTGCAGGGCCACCCCACTGGCGCAATGATCGACGGATCAATGTAGTGAGTGCTCCTGCCACGAAAGTACAAGTTTCCCGTGCCTGACATTTGCCATCCAAAATTCGCATCGGCCATTTCATTGCAAACTGATGCTTGGACAAACATCACATGCCCTGCTGGACTCAAGGATTCTTGGCCAACCCTGAAAATGCTTGCTCGAACGCACAAGGAATTTCCTTTGAAAGAAATCGGAACCCTCACACCGCTGTCATGCTCAAGAGCCATGTCTGGCTGTCTGACGGGCCACCAACCTGCTTTCATGAGCTTGCCCTTGCACAAGAGAGGCTGAGTAACTGGGGCGATCGCACAAACTTCTCGCCACACCACATGTTCCCCTGTGCTGCTCTCAACGACAAACTCAACTTCACGAAGGTCGTTCACAGCAAGCGGCTCGCCTTGCGCATCACGCAGTTGCAAATTGTGAGGACCGTGGTCGAAACCATGTTGTGCATACTCAAGAGGCAAGCAACTCATGTCTGCACCTGAATCCAAAATCACATCCAGGGCATCGTCAGCTGAGGGCAACTCTTGGATTGTCTGAACAGCATACACAAAGCCTTTGTTGGGCTCCAAGCGCTTGAGAGTGCTGAGCTCATGCACAGAAACTCCGTGCTCCCACGATCCTGAATCATCATCGGCCGAAATGTCAAATTGGGACACCTGTGGCACTGTGCTCTGATCTGCTGCTGGCGCAGCCTGGGACACCTGTGGCACTGTGCTCTGATCAAAATAAAATGGACCTGCTGGGACTGAACTGCCTCGGGATTCCGAGCTGACTGCATCGCTACTCTCAAGAACGCGCACTGGCTCTGCACTGTTCAAACATGAACCTTCCAGCATTCGGACAATCTCAAGAAATTCTGGTGACAAAATGTCGCTGCTGCACGCCTGGCCGATCGCAACCTGGCCACTGGGACCTGCTGGGCTCTGAACTGCCTTGGGATTCCGAGCTGACTGCATGGCACATGTGACAGCACGAACATGCCCTCCAATGAACCAGTCAGCGGGCGCACTCAAGTCAAACACCTGAACTCGCCGCACTGTTCCACTCGTGCTGGCCGCTCCACCTGATGTCGTGATGGTGGGTGCCTCGCTCGCTGCACTTGAAGGGTTTACCTCTGCAACCTGATGCACGCCTTTGCCTTTGCCTTTGCCATGCAGCAGCCAACAATCCTTGGCAAGATGTCCAACCTTATGGCAGTGATGGCACTTTCGCGTCTCCTTTTGTGCTTTGCCTCCCTTTCCTTTGCCGCCTTTCGGCTGGTTGGCATTCTGAGACTTGCCTCCACCGCCACCGGGATTCGGTTTCCCGCCATTGGGCTTGCCGCCCTTTCCACCTTTGTCTTTTCCACCCTTTCCACGACCATCGCCCTTGCCGCCTTTAGGTTTCCCCTTAGCGACCCTATCTACATCCATGGGTACGGGATCACTGGCACTATGGTCACCCGAGGGGCCTATTCCTAAGCTTTGCTGCACTTTGGACGCCGACCAGTTGCTGGTCGTCACTTCATATGTCAGAATGAACTGTTTGACCTGCTCATAGCTGGTGTCACTTTTCATCTGAAGCTGAATGTGGTTTCTCAAGTGCGCCGGCAAAACCCGAAGTAAAGTCCCGAGGAGAATATCTGGATTCACAGCCACTCCTGAGACCCTTTCATACTCCTGGGCAAGGCGATCCAAACCGTCAACCTGCTCCCTGGTCGTTTTGCTTTTCACAAACGGGGGAAATGACATGATGGCATTCAGCAGTGCAAGTCCTCGCACTTTCGATCGCGGTGCGTAGATGTTGACCAGCTGCCGCCAAGTCTCATAGCCGTTGCGGTTCGGCACTTGTCGCAACAACATCTTCGGCTTGTGCTGCAGCAGACTGCTAAGTATCGCATACAAGCGGCGCGACCGCTCTGCAGTTTCAGCTGGCATGGTGGGGTTCTCTACATCAAGATTTGACTCGACTGTCTGAAGCTCAATCTCATACTGAGGGTCGGCGAAGATAAGCCAAGCCTTAAAGGCATGTGCCCAATCAAGCCACGACCCCAAGTCACTGTCATGCGAAGTGCTTCCAAAGCATGTGGGCCTATTCAAGATGCGGTTTGCATCACTAAAGCCCTGTGTCCCTGAACTCCTGCTCGGGGACGCTGCACTCGCTACACCTGCCGCTGCAAGAACAGCCTGACTTTGGCCTTGCATTGTCTGCAGGATCTGCTGAAACTGAGCAACATCAAGTACTACCTGATTTGGCACTGAACCACCTGCCGATGGCGAAAACGGATTCGTGCTCATCTGAGGAAGCTGCGGTCCAACTGATGGTCCTCCACTCCCTGAGGCTGGAGGCCCTGTCGGTCCCTCACCACCAAGATCATCATCATCTAAATCAGCCATTGTTTCAACAATCAGTCAAGGTCAATCACACTGCGGCTTCCACTCTGCAATGAATTTGCACTTGGTTGATTGGGCTCTAAATCAATAACAGCAGAAGAAGATGATTGCAGGCACTGGAACACTCCACGCTCAGGCTCACGCAATTCAATCGGCTCTGCTGGCGAATCTTTCAACTCCTGAAAACCTCGAGAGGAACTTGTCTGCTCAAACAGCTCTAGGTCCCTGTCAAACGCAGAATGCTCTTCAGTCGGGTGCACGCAACTTTCAACAACACCGTCTGGTATGGCAAACTCTGCGGTGTCTGCTGCACAAAACCCAATGTAAGCTTCTCGAAGATCGCGATCCTTTAAGCACTTAAGGGCAAAACAATGCAGTTCAGAAATTGTGTGAAGTCGCTCAAGCTTAGTATCTAAAGCCTCCTGAAACCCGTGAAGAATCTTGCACCAACCTGCGCGCGTGCGGCCTTCTGGGCAGGGCCGCTGCAACAGCTGTTCAAGATAGAGCTGTCTGATCCGCTCTCGCAATGCTTCAGCAGAAGCTTCACTCGCCGCCGTGATTGCCACTCGGCTTGTTCAAGCAGGATATGGCTCGTCCGGTCAAGAGCCGGGATTGCGATCCTACCTAACTTCACCGAAGACGAAAAGTCAAAGAGGATTTCAAAGCCTGGGCCCCTGGACACCTAAAGTGACGGAAACCCACAAGCGTGTTTCCGAAGCACTGGTCAGCCAGTGCTCCGCTACCATGAAAACAATCCTCTTTCACGCAAACTCTGAGCCTGTAAACGTCGGTCGTAACATGGTTATTCCATGCACTCAAAGCTACATGTCCAAAAGCTACCAAACTGTTCAATCAAAATAAGGGTACGAGTACAAACACAAAATTTGATCAATCGGTCAAAAACCTTTGCATGGGGGTCTACGCCGGCGCTGCGTGCCCAGCTCCGTGGAGCTGGCTTGCCAGTTGCGCTTGATGCCAGGGATCTCGGAGGTCATTTGCAGTACAGTGGCAGGCTCACCAACTATACCCAGGTCGCCCGACTTTCTGGCTTAGAAGGTTGCTGGGTGAGGCTTCGTGAGTCCATGGCGCCCCTGGGCCAGAAAATGGCGGCCATAACCAGTGTTGCATGGCCCCGTGCCCTCCATGCTGTCTCCTTAGTCCATTTAGGAAACCGCCACTTTCAGTCTCTGCGGGCAGCGGCGATGAAGAGCCTTCGTCTTGCTGGCCCAGGTGCCTCGCCATGGCTTCAGTTTTCCTTGCTCCAGTTTCCCACGGCTGACCCGGGCTTCGCTGCCCTCCAAGCCTCAGTCGTTGATTTCTGTCGCTTTGGCCAGGCTACTGATGCTGTGCCATGCCTCGACATCCTGGCCAGTGCCGGTGAGCGGCGTGTGCCGGGTCCGCTGGGGGTTCTGGTTGCCAGACTTCACGAAGTTGGGGTCTCTTGGTTCGTTGAAGGCTCGGCCTTTCGTGACAGCTTTGGCGAATGGTCACCCTGGACCACGCCCCTTTCAGAGATACGTTTGCGCCTGGTCTCTCAGTGGCAAACTGCCGTGGCCGTGCGAATGTCTCATCGCCCAGGGTTCCAAGGCTTAGCCGGTGCTGACCCTGCTCTCACCCGCCGGGTCTTCCTCGAGTTCCCTGCCGAACAGCAGCCTTACCTTCGTGTTGCCCTCAATGGCACCTTTTACACTCAAGCGGAGTTGCACCACATTGGTCAGGAAGAGAGTAGCGCGTGTGTGCGCTGTGGCCAGCCGGACAGCATCCTGCACCGCCTCCTTCACTGCCCCTTCTTTGCGTCTGCCAGGGCCAAGTACCCTCCACCGGCTGGGCTGGCCCCGTGCCAGATCCAGCACTGTTGGGCACTTAAAGCTCCTTCTCTTCAGCGTGTTCGCCAAGCCCTATAAGCCCTTCCTGATCTGGCCGCCCTCCAACCAGTCGAAGCTAGGTCTTCCCATGATCTGTTTACGGATGGTACCTGCAGCATGCCAGCGTGTCCCGAGCTTCGACTAGCAGCATGGTCAGTCATTCTGGCCAACGCCGGATCTGCCGCATCGCCAGTTGTCCTTGCAGCTCAACCACTCCCCGGATTGGTCCAAACCTCTTTTCGAGCTGAGCTATTTGCCATGCTTGTGGCACTGACCTTTGCGTCTAGGGTCTCGGTGCCGGTGCGGGTTTGGAGTGACTGCGGCGGGGTGGTTTCTAGGACTAGGTCGCTTTTGAGTGGGTCTCCCCTTGTCCCTGGCTGCAGCAACCATGACTTGTGGCAACGCATCCATGTGCTGTGCCAAACACCTGGGCTAAGCGTCACCGTTCTCAAGGTCCCGTCACACGAAGACGCAACACTGCATGACGATCCAGTTGACCAGTGGGCTGTGGAAATGAATGCAGTCGCTGACAGGGTGGCTGATGAAGCCAACCGTGTCAGGGATGACTCCTTCGTAGCCTCGTGGCAGCAGCTGCGGGATTGGATTGAGGCTGAGACAGGCCGAGTTCGACAGGTCATGAAGTTACATGTGGAGGTTGCCCTGTTGGCAACGCACACCAAGGCTGCAAAACCTGAACGAGTCGCACACGTTTTCACTTCACCTGACGTGCCGCCGCTTTCTCTTGATGTCAGCTTGTTGGACGGTAGCAAGCTGTATTCGAAGTATGGAAATGGCTATGTGCAGTCTTTGCTGCAGTGGACACGCGGGCTCTTTGGAGAGGCAAGCAAGCCAGGCGCCAGATGCCGGTGGATTGCTGTTTACCAGCTTTTCTTCTCTTTCGTTATGCAGACCCGCGTGGTCCCACCAGTCTACATGACGACATCCAAGGCATGGTCCTCCAACCCGCATGTACAGGTTGCCCTTGTGAGGCGCGTGCAAGGATTCGGTCGTCAAGTTCGTGATCTGTGGCAGACGGCGGGTGCTGGATGGCCAAGCCGTGAAGGCCGCCCCGAATCTGCTCTGTTGCTCCAGCGTCTTTGTGTTCTACCACTTCGAGTTCCTGACGGCTTCATCGAGGACATTGATCGATACTTCGCATCGCACAAGGCCGGACAGTCGCGACACTGGTGGCGTTCGCTTTGCCTCCCCTCCGAGGCGTAGTCTTTACCCAGGCAGAAGTCCTGGCTCTGTACGCTGAGCCATGACGTTGCCCTCAAATGGATCAAATGGGTCTAGGGCTTTGAGGCTTTGAGTGCGCAAGGGTTGTGTATGACCCTGTGCGTTTTCTTCTGTATGCTCCTTGGAAAGTGAAACAACTGTGTATGACACCATTCGTTGTTTTTTTCAACGATTTCAAGATACAGGGTCTAGGGCTTTGAGGCTTTGAGTGCGCAAGGGTTGTGGATGACCCCGTTCCTTTTCTTCTGTATGCTCCTTGGAAAGTGAAACAACTGTGTATGACACCATTCGTTGTCTTTTCTAGCGAGTTTAAGATACAGGGTCTAGGGTTTTGAGGCTTTGAGTGCGCAAGGGTTGTGTATGACCCCGTTCGCTTTCTTCTGTATGCTCCTTGGAAAGTGAAACAATTGTGTATGACACCATTCGTTGTCTTTTTCAGCGATTTTAAGATACAGGGTCTAGAGATCTGAGTGCACAAGGGTTGTGTATGACCCCGTTCGTTTGCTTCTGTATGCTCCTTGGAAAGTGACACAACGGGGTATGACACCATTCGTTGTTTTTTTTTCAGCGATTTTACGATACAGGGTCTAGGGCTTTGAGGCTTTGAGTGCGCAAGGGTTATGTATGACCCCGTTCGTTTTCTTCTGTAAGCTCTTTGGAAAGTGAAATAACTGTGTATGCTACCATTCGTTGAGATTTTAAGATACAGGGTCTAGGTGATTGAGGCTTTGAGTGCGCAAGGGATATGTATGACCCCGTTCGTTTTCATCTGTATTCTCCTTGCAAAGGGACACGACTGTGTATGACACCATTCGTTGTCTTTTTCAGCCAGTTTGAGATACAGTGTCTAGGGCTTTGAGGCTTTGAGTGCGCAAGGGTTGTGCATGACCTCGTTCGTTTTCTTCTGTATGCTCCTTGGAAAGTGAAACAACTGTGTATGACAGAAACAACTGTGTATGACCCCATTTGTCGTGTTTTTCAGCGAGTTTAAGATACAGGGTCTAGGCTTTCGAGGTATTGAGTGCGCAAGGGTTGTGTAGGACCCCGTTCGTTTTCTTCTGTATGCTCCTGGGAAAATGAAACAACTGTGTATGACACTATCCGTTGCCTTTTTCAGCGATTTGAAGATACAGGGTCTAGGGTTTTCAGGCTTTGAGTGCACAAGGGTTGTGTATGACCCCGTTCGTTTTCTGCTGTATGCTCCTTGGAAAGTGAAACAACTGTGTATGACACCATTCGTTGTCTTTTTCAGCGATTTTAAGATACAGGGTCTAGGGCTTTGGGGCTTTGAGTGCACAAGGGTTGTGTATGACCTCGTGTGTTTTTTTCTGTATGCTCCTTGGAAAGTGAAACAACTGTGTATGACACCATTCTTTGTCTTTTGCAGCGATTTTGAGATACAGGGTCTAGGGCTTTGAGGAATTGAGTGTGCAAGGGTTGTGTATGACCCCGTGCGTTTTCTTCTGTATGCTCCTTGGAAAGTGAAACAACTGTGTATGACACCATTCGTTGTTTTTTCCAGCGATTTTAAGATACAGGGTCTAGGGCTTTGAGGCTTTGAGTGCTCAAGTGTTGTGAATGACCCCGTTCGTTTTCTTCTGTATGCTCCTTGGAAAGTGAAACAACTGTGTATGACACCATTCGTTGTCTTTTTGAGCGATTTCAAGATACAGGGTCTAGGGCTTTGATGCTTCGAGTGCGCAAGGGTTGTGTATGACACCGTTCGTTTTCTTCTGTATGCTCCTTGGAAAGTGAAACAACTGTGTATGACACGATTCGTTTTTTTTAGCGATTTTAAGATACAGGGTCTAGGTGATTGAGGCTTTGAGTGCGCAAGGGTTGTGTATGACCCCGTTCGTTGTCTTCTGTATGCTCCTTGGAAAGTGAAACAACTGTGTATGACACCATTCGTTGTATTTCTCAGCTATTTTAAAATACAGGGTCTAGGTCATTGAGGCTTTGAGTGCGCAAGGGTTGTGTATGACCCCGTTTTATTTCTTCTGTATGCTCCTTGGAAAGTGAAACAACTGTGTATGACACCATTCGTTGTCTTTTTCAGCGAGTTTAAGATACAGGGTCTAGGGCTCTAGGGTTTTTTGAGGCTTTGAGTGCGTAAGGGTTGTGTATGACCCCGTTCGTTTTCTTCTGTATGCGCCTTGGAAAGTGAAACAACTGTGTATGACACCATTCGTTGTTTTTTTCAGCGATTTCAAGATACAGGGTCTAGGTCTTTGAGTGCGCAAGGGTTGTGTATGACCTCGTTCGTTGTCTTCTGTAGGCTCCTTGGAAAGTGAAACAACTGTGTATGACACCATTCGTTGTCTTTTTCAGCGTTTTTTAGATACAGGGTCTCGGGTTTTGAGTGCGCAAGGGTCGTGCAGGACCCCGTTCGTTTTCTTCTGTATGCTCCTTGGAAAGTGAAACAACTGTGTATGACACCATTCGTCGTCTTTTTCAGCGAGTTTAAGATACAGGGTCTAGGTCTTTGAGTGCGCAAAGGTTGTGTATGACCCCGTTCGTTGTCTTCTGTATGCTCCTTGGAAAGTGAAACAACTGTGTACGACACCATTCTTTGTCTTTTGCAGCGATTTTGAGATACAGGGTCTAGGGCTTTGAGGCTTTTAGTGCTTTTTCTTCTGTATGCTCCTTGGAAAGTGAAACAACTGTGTATGACACCGTTCGTTGTTTTTTTCAGCGAGTTTAAGATACAGGGTCTAGGGCTCTAGGGCTTTCAGGCTTTGAGTGCGCAAGGGTTGTGTATGACCCCGTTTGCTTTCTTCTGTATGCTCCTTGGAAAGTGAAACAATTGTGTACGACACCATTCGTTTTCTGTTCCTGCGTTTTTAAGATAAAGGGTCTAGGGCTTTGAGTGCGCAAGAGTTGTGTATGACACCATTCGTTGACTTTTTCAGCGATTTCGTACTTCCGGGTCTCGGTGGCTCTGTGTGGCCCACTCTTATCCGTAACAAATCGTACTTCCGGGTCTTGGTGGCTCTGTGTGGACCACTTTTATTCGTAACAAATCGTACTTCCGGGTCTTGGTGGCTCTGTGTGGCGCACTCTTATCGGTAACAAATCGTACTTCCGGGTCTTGGTGGCTCTGTGTGGCCCACTCTTATCCGTAACAAATCGTACTTCCCGGTCTTGGTGGCTCTGTGTGGCCCACTCTTATCCGTAACAAACCGTACTTCCGGGTCTTGGTGGCTCTGTGTGCCCCATTCTTATCCGTAACAAATCGTACTTCCGGGTCGTGGCGGCTCTGTGTGGCCCACTCTTATGCGTAACAAATCGTACTTGCTGGTCTTGGTGGCTCTGTGTGGCCACTCTTATCCGTAACAAATCGTACTTCCGGGTCTTAGAGCCTTTGTGCGGCCCACTCTTATCCGTAACAATCGTACTTCCGGGTCTTGGTGGCTCTGTGTGGCCCACTCTTATCCGCAACAAATCGTACTTCCGGGTCTTGGTGGCTCTGTGTGGCCCACTTTTATCCGTAGCAAATCGTACTTCCGGGTCTTGGTGGCTCTGTGCGGCCCACTCTTATCCGTAACAAATCGTACTTCCGGGTCTTGGTGGCTCTGTGTGGCCCGCTCTTATCCGTAACAAATCGTACTTCCGGGTCTTGGTGGCTCTGTGTGGCCCATTCATATCCGTAACAAGTCGTACTTCCGGGTCTTGGTGGCTCTGTGTGGCCCACTCTTATCTGTAACAAACCGTACTTCCGGGTCTTGGTGGCTCTGTGTGGCCCACTCTTACCCGTAACAAATCGTATTTCCGGGTCTTGGTGGCTCTGTGTGGCCCACTCTTATGCGTGACAAATCGTACTTCCGGGTCTTGGTGGCTCTGTGTGGCCCACTCTTATGCGTAACAAATCGTACTTCCGGGTCTTGGTGGCTCTGTGTGGCCCACTCTTATCCGTAACAAATCGTACTTCCGGGTCTTGGTGGCTCTGTGTGGCCCACTCTTATCCGTATCAAATCGTACTTCGGGGTCTTGGTGGCTCTGTGTGGCCCACTCTTATCCGTAACAAACCGTACTTTCGGGTCTTGGTGGCTCTGTGCGGCCCACTCTTGTCCGAAAACAAATCGTACTTCCGAGTCTTGGTGGCTCTGTGTTGGTGGCTCTGTGCAGCCCACTCTTATCCGTAACAAATCGTACTTCCGGGTCTTGGTGGCTCTGTGTGGCCCACTCTTATCCGTAACAAATCGTACTTCCGGGTCTTGGTGGCACTGTGCGGCCCATTCTTATCCGTAACAAATCGTACTTCCGGGTCTTGGTGGCTCTGTGTGGCCCACTCTTACCCGTAACAAATCGTACTTCCGGGTCTTGGTGGCTCTGTGTGGCCCACTCTTATCCGTAACAAATCGTACTTCCGGGTCTCGGTGGCTCTGTGTGGCCCACTCTTATCCGTAACAAATCGTTCATCCGGGTCTTGGTGGCTCTTTGTGCCCCACTCTTACCCGTAACAAATCGTACTTCCGGGTCTTCGTGGCTCTGTGTGTGTGGCCCACTCTTATCCGTAACAAATTGTACTTCCGTGTCTTGGTGGCTCTGTGCGGCCCATTCTTATCCGTAACAAATCGTACTTCCGGGTCTTGGTGGCTCTGTGTGGCCCACCCTAATCCGTAACAGATCGTACTTCCGAGTCTTGGTGGCTCTGTGTGGCCCACTTTTATTCGTAACAAATCGTACTTCCGGGTCTTGGTGGCTCTGTGTGGCCCACTCTTATCCGTAACAAATCGTACTTCCGGGTCTTGGTGGCTCTGTGCGGCCCACTCCTATCCGTAACAGATCGTACTTCCAGTTCTTGCTGGCTCTGTGTGGCCCACTCTTATCCGTAACAAATCGTACTTCCGGGTCTTGGTGGTGCTGTGTGGCCCACTCTTATCGGTAACAAATCGTACTTCAGGGTCTTGGTGGCTCTGTGTGGCCCACTCTTATCCGTAACAAATCGTACTTCCCGGTCTTGGTGGCTCTGTGTGGCC